CATGCCAAAAAAATAAGCTTTGAAAATAGAAGGCTAATGAGGAGAAATTAACTCCCTCAGATATGTCCACCTAATTATACTTGTGCTTACATTGAGCATTCTAATGTAACCAACTCAGAATATACCAATGTCTTGTACTTTATGAGAAAATGATATACTGATTGATTGAGGTGATCCTAAAGTTTGATATAGGATGAATACAGTCATAGATATCATAAACTGGGAGTGTTTGGTGGCTTATCTTATGGACAAGTCAGTGTTTTCTTTGATAAATTGGATGTACCATATGGGGGCCTGCTATATAAAAAGAGGTTCGATGGCATTGTACTTAGAGCTCTTTAGAACTCTTGAAAGAGATTAAACTTTTTACATAATTCAAGAGAAAATGACCGTTAGCCTGGTTTCAAAGACTGAACTAAAGATGGCCTGTTTTGATTGGCTATTCAACTCATCTTACCAGTTTGAATATCTCTCTGCAAAGACATTCAAAACTGATTGAATTTATGACTCAATTTGTTCATTCTCAGGATAGCTGAGATTCAGAGAAATGTATTTGGCAGCATTTATTCTGGTTCATTTTCTTACACTAAAAATGATTTCTACAGAAGGAACAGTTGGCACCTACATTCCCAAAGTAACAGGATTGAAGACTAAATTCTGGAAAATTTTTTCTTGTTTTAAATTTTATAAGATGTAAAAGTACTATTCATTTTCCTTTTCATATTAATAGTGACAGTACAAGTGAACTATGAGGGAAAAGAGGAAGTTATATGGCTGCCATTCAATATGGTACCAAAACCTAAATATGACAAAATTGGAATGCCTGAATTCTAGGTAACACCAGGAATAGTTGCTTTAAAATATAAAAGTTATACAGGTATCTTATCCATTATGAAGAATTTGGGGAACTATGAAACACGATAAAATGAGATGCTTTGTCTTTAAAGGATTCAAAGATAAAATATTACTAAACATCATAATGGAAAAAAATTTGACATTTTTACATCTTAAGAAAAAGTGGTACCAAGATTCTTTTTCCAAATTCGGGGTAAACCAACAAAGAAAAACTTTTGCATTTTTTATTTTCAAATTTAAAATATCTCCAATATTATAAACATATGTTATATTAAAAGCTTACACCATCTTACATTAAAAATAAAAAGGTTATCTAGTAGTTGTGGATCTTTTTTTTTTTTTAATTCTTAGCTTTCTCGAAGATAAGGTGACCATAGGTTCGTGGATTTATCTCTGGGCTTTCTATTCTGTTCCATTGATCTATATTTCTGTCTTTGTGCCAGTACCATACTGTCTTGATGACTGTGGCTTTGTAGTATAGTCTGAAGTCAGGCAGGTTGATTCCTCCAGTTCCATTCTTCTTTCTCAAGATTACTTTGGCTATTCGAGGTTTTTTGTATTTCCATACAAATTGTGAAATTATTTGTTCTAGTTCTGTGAAAAATACCGTTGGTAGTTTGATAGGGATTGCATTGAATCTATAGATTGCTTTGGGTAGTATAGCCATTTTGACAATATTGATTCTTCCAATCCATGAACACGGTATATTTCTCCATCTGTTTGTGTCCTCTTTGATTTCTTTCATCAGTGTTTTATAGTTTTCTATGTATAGGTCTTTTGTTTCTTTAGGTAGATATACTCCTAAGTATTTTATTCTTTTTGTTGGAATGGTGAATGATATTGTTTCCTTAATTTCTCTTTCTTTTTCTCATTGTTAGTGTATAGGAATGCAAGGGATTTCTGTGTGTTAATTTTATATCCTGCAACTTTACTATATTCATTGATTAGCTCGAGTAATTTTCTGGTAGAGTCTTTAGGGTTTTCTATGTAGAGGATCATGTCATCTGCAGTGAGAGTTTCACTTCTTTTCCTATCTGGATTCCTTTTATTTCTTTTTCTGCCCTGACTGCTGTGGCCAAAACTTCCAAAACTATGTTGAATAGTAGAGGTGAGAGTGGGCACCCTCATCTTGCTCCTGATTTTAGGGGAAATGCTTTCAATTTTTCACCATTGAGGATAATGTTTGCTGTGGGTTTGTCATATATAGCTTTTATTATGTTGAGGTATGTTCCTTCTATTCCTGCTTTTAGCGTGAGATATTTTAAAAAGTATAAGGCAGGGACATTTTCTCAAGGAGTAAAATCCTTTATAGTGAAGTGATAAAGAACTGGTTTGATAATCATTATGCAAGATGTTAATACACAGACTTGTAACAAATTTGGTCGGCATATTAATTCCAAAGTGCCATACTAGAGAGAAGATACAACTATTGTGAGGTAGCAACACTTTTGCTAAGAAAGTATTTCCCAAACCTTGGCAAACATTTCACTCCAAGCACTCTAGCAGCATTTGGAATACCTAAAAAGCAAAACAAAAGTACATCTGAGATAGGAGCTGCCAGGCCTCGAGTTCAGTATTTTCACCTCTCCTCTACTGCTGAATCACCTTAAGATGCAGACACTGTCCGTCAGATGACAAATTTAACTGACAAAGCTTGTAAAATATTTATTAAAAGAGCTTAGCAAACAAGTAAGCTTTCTGCAGCTTACAATCTTTATTATGAGACAGTAGAGTGTCACAGGACACTCTCAGCAAGGAAAAACAGTACCATCATCATTAGACTTTTTAGTGTCACTATGAGCTAGCACATCAGGACGGCACTTCTATTTCCTACAAGAATGGTTAGCATCCCTTTACACAAGCTTTGTTTCTTGAATCACTCATTGGTGATCATTAGAAATCCACAGTTCAGTATGTGGGGAATCATATGACGGCATGAGTGCTCAGTCGTGTCTTGACTCTTAGTGACCCTATGGACTGTAGCCCTGCCAGGCTCTTCTGTCCAGGGGAGTTTACAAGCAAGAATACTGCAGTGGGTTGTCATTTCCTCTGCCAAGGGTCATATGACCACTCCAATTAAAAAAAATAAGCTTACCTTTCCATGCCAAAAAACACTGAAAAGCAATAAGGACTTTTATTTCTTTTTGTGTGCTGTCTGTCATGTTACTATCTATCGATAACATCTACTGAAAGGTTCTGTGATGTCAGCCAAGCATTAAACAGAGGAATCTATGGACTAACTGTTGGGATATTTTTTCAGAGAGAAGCCTGATGAATCTCTGCAATTTTTCATTAAATTTTTTACAAGTCTTTAAAATAGAAAAATGAATAAATGTTAAATTAAATGTAGTGTAAGTACCTGACAATCAGTGCTTCTGATAATAATTTACGTGCCTGACATTAAGCTTTTGGTTGCCAACATTCACTTCAAAGATAATCATCTCAAATAAACAAGCTATACAACAAGAGAAAGGGCCAGGCCAGGCCATCCTCTTAGAAGGTCCTGGGTGAGCTACATAACTGACCACTTGAGTGACCGGGACTTTTCCTTCCCACACTTTAATTCTTTCTTGCTCTTATGTTTTAAATTCACTAACAAAGAATGAACCCACAAAACTCAAGGCACCCCATCCTGGACCCCAATAAAGGCATGACTCAAGCTTCATCCTCTCCTAGGCATGCCATGTACCCTCCAGGACTTGTGAGTAATAAACCTTGTTTTTTAAAATCCCCTGATGATTGTTGCTGAGGTGCATGTAGCAATCATTAGAGCCACAAGGGCCTGTTTGCCGCAACACTGATTCATGGGGTGGGGGCCACAAGTAGTACAGGGCCCAGGTGAGTGCCTTCAGGCACTACTAACTGATGGTATCACTGAAGTAGGCTGAACCAACACAAACACTAAAAGTATATCACATAATGTATTACAGTTGTATAGATGAATGACTATGTTTTAGGTAGTTAATGCTAAAGCATTTAGGGATGACATGTCATGATGCCTGCAACTTCCAAATGGTTCTACTAAAACACACACACATGGCAAAGACATTGATCACTGTACTACCCCTTCAGCTTTTCTGTATTCTGAAAGTTTAAGCTGTGGAAACATGTGCATCACAAAATCAATAGAGAAAGTGAGAAGAGTTCAGAAGTGGAAAGTGGTTAAGCATAAGAGAAAACGCAGAGGCAATTTTCACAATTAAAAGTAGTAATTTAATGTAATATAACTTTCTGACAATGAAGAAACTTTAGCTGAAGTTTCCCATCTGTTCCTAAGCTGTGGTGGTGCCAGTAGGAATCTGTGGCCGAGAGATTCAAAAGTACCTGTGGTTTGAAGTAACAGTTTTTTAGATGCCATAAGTATGAGCAATGAGTCCTTTCAGAGTGATGAGAGGCTCATTCACACCACCAGACTTTCTGTTGTTACCTTGCTCACTCAGGATATGAGGGTACTAAGCTTGCAACTGTTCTGTGAATTACCTGAATGGAAACACACCATGATGAGCATCTGATACACTAGACTCAGAAACCACTAATGAAATTCTGCTAAATATCATTGGGACTCTGTTTAGAAAAACACGAGGTCTTATTAAGCCTGGGCCTTATACAGCACACAGAATTTCCTGTCTTTGATCACAAAGGATGGTTTTAGATGTCCTGTCACTGTTAAGGAAAAAGACTGGTAAATGTCTGAACGTTCTGTATTTCCCTCCCTCCTTACCAAGACTTTTTTTTACCATCTTCCCATTTCCTCAACTTACTCTAAAGCTTTTTGTGTAATTTACTTGGTCAAAATAGTTGTCCCTGTAGCATCACCACTCATATCTCTAAGATACATTATATGTCCATCTTTTAAAGCAGGCCCTTCAATTAATATTTTTAACATGTAGCTTACTGATTATACTATTACCTTCAGTAATTTCTTGGTTCCAAAAAACTATTAACTATCATTTGTTTATGATAGTTGCATTAGTTTGTGTTCAGTCGCTTTCTTTGTGTCCGACTCTTTGCGACCCCATGGACTGCAGCCTGCCAGGCTCCTCTGTCCATGGGATTCTCCAGGCAAGAATACTGGAGTAGGTTGTCATTTCCTCCTCCAGGGGATCTTCCCGACCCAGGGATGGAACCCATGTCTGTTATGTCTCCTGCATTGGTAGGCGGGTTCTTTACCACCAGTGTCACCTGGGAAGGCCCAGCCGCATTAGAAAACAATGTTATAACAGAAACAATTCTAGCAACTGTTGAGCCAACTAATTATTTCAAGGGTTTATACTCTAAACCACTCAGTAATGTTCTTACAAAACAGTTATACTTTATTTGCTGAAAACCTAAAACCTATTTATTCTAATTCCACTAAAGCAGAAATCCAAGCAAAGCCCAGCCAATGCAAACACCTTTATTTTTCTGAAGACACTTCCTCCTTCTCATATAAAACGACAAAAAAAAAGAAAAATTTTAGTAGCTTTTGTTGGCAGAATTAATGACACTTCATGTGCTTCATAAAACTCCATACCCCCAACACTGGTTTTATGAGTATGATACACACATTTGGACTCAAAGAGCATCTCAATTCTAAAGTAACGCTAGGGACCAGATGACTCGATGATATCTTACAATATGTTTTGGGAAAAAGAAATAGCAGCAATTTACAGAGGGGCACAGTTAGATTCCTGGTCTGGGTACTAGGAATCAAACCTATGCGTGAGACATGCACCAAGAGTCTCTCTTCCAGCTTTAGTGCAGAAGTGAGCCACCAATGATGATGGGTGGGATAAAGATCATAAGTTACTGGGAGTCAGAATACATAGATTCAAATATTGAGTCTGCAACTTAAATATGATGTCATGTTAGGCAAACAGCTTAACCTAAGACTCAAATTCCTTTTAACCGTAAAGTAAAAATTAAGGCTCCCTCTTCACAGGACAGAAATCAGTACGAAGAAATCAGATAGTATGATTGAACATGTTTGGAAAGGGACCTGTTTGTTTTGTATGCTACTTAGTCATTTTCTCAGATGGTTAAAGAGATAGAATTCTTTTAAATTTATTTATTTTTAATTGGAGGATAATTGCTTTACAATGTTGTGCTAGTTTCTGCGTACAACAGTGTGAATCAGCTATATGTACACATGTATCTCCTCCTCCTTGAGCCTCCCTCCCACCCAGCCCCATCCCACCTCTGCAGGTCATCACAGAGCACTGAGCAGAGCTCCCTGTACGACACAGCAGCTTCCCACTGACCATCTATTTCACACGCGACAGTGTATATATGTCAGTACTACTCTCTCAATTTATCCCACCCGCTCCTTCCCCTGCTGTGTCCACAAGTCCGTACTGTCCATCTGCATCTCTATTCCTGCCCTGAAAATAGGTTCACCAGTACCATTTCTCTAGATTTCATATATATATATGTTAATATGTGACATTTTTCTCTTTCTGACTTACTTTACTCTGTATAACAGGCTCTAGGTTCATCCACTTCACTACAATGGACTCTTTAGAATTTTAAGTCAAAGACTATCAAGAACCATGGAGGCCAAATACTAGTCGAAATAAGATGTTAATGTACTAAACATGCAAAAACTGAAGAATAATTTAAAACTAAAGAGTGCTAGGTACCTTTTTGATAACACCTTATAACAGTAGCCTATTCCTTTATCTCTATGGTTTTTAGACATTTTTGAAAGTGCTTTTGTTCATAAAATGATTTTCTGAATTTTCAGCATCTCTATAGATAAATTTTAAATTTAAGGACCTAAATGCATTTGTTAAGACTAGTGATAGTTTAATATAAGAAGAGAAGCTCAAATCAAAGGAAGTAACTTTTCTAAGGTGAATGAGGAATCAGTCAGGAAAAACTTCAGTCTTAAGCACAGGCTTATATTGACTTTATGCGTTGCAGAATCTCAAATTTCTTACCACTTTTCTCCTTTTAATAAGTACCTTTTGACTTTCAATAAAACAGAAACTTTATTTAAAAGGCAGGCTGAGTGTGTATCCTTTGCACTGACACATACAATGACAACCGTTCAAAATAGTTTACACACTCTAGCTTCAAGTTCCACTTCATATCCTGCTCCCTAACAGACTTAAACTTTAAGTCAACTAGGAGCTCCAACAATGTGTCAGAGATTTTATTAATTAACAAGAAAAGTAAACCTGGGTCTAGTGATGATTATTACTGGATCACCAATAAGGACAGATCTGACGTTTTACATCCTGGAAAGCCGCTGCTTTTACCTCTCCACAGGTAAATGTCAGCTTTCATTTGGCCCCAGTGTGAAAGCACTTATCCATATAATTCCCCTAGTGCCCGGTCAGGTGTAATGTAATCTTACTGTTGCAAATTTGTTAGAACCCTTTTCTTTTCTTTTATACTATAAGCAACACAAAAAATGGCTTCCTAAGTGACATTAACTCCAAGCTCTGGTTCAGTGCCAAAGGGAGTTAGCTCACCTGCCAATTATATCTTGAAGTAGCAACTACAGGGGGCATGGAAATAAGCCAGTTTAAAGACCCAATCAGCCAGAGAGAAGGCTTTACACTAGCAGGAAAGTGCAGGTAATCTCTTTCCTCAAGTTAAATTGACCTGGTTGCTACACCTGCTAATCAATCCTAAATACACAGTTTGTAGGCAGGAAACCACTTCATTTGTCATTTATTAAAGGAGGCTCCCCCTGGCTGGGTTCCAAGTCCTAAGTCTCTCTCCCGGAACTGTATTTCCGGGTTCAGGCTGGTTCTAAATGGAATCGGATCCTGTGGTTAACAGAGCGAAGTAAGCCAGAAAGATAAAGACCATTACAGTATACTAACACATATATATGGACTTTAGAAAGATGGTAACGATAACCCTATATGCAAAACAGAAAAAGAGACTCAGATGTATGGAACAGACTTGTGGACTCTGGGAGAAGGCGAGGGTGGGATGTTTCAGGAGAACAGCATTGAAACATGTATATTATCTAGGGTGAAACAGATCACCAGCCCAGGTTGGGTGCATGAGACAAGTGCTCGGGCCTGGTGCACTGGGAAGACCCAGAGGGATCGGGTGGAGAGGGAGGTGGGAGGGGGGACCGGGATGGGGAATACATGTAAATCCATGGCTAATTCATTTCAATGTATAACAAAAACTACTGTAATGATGTAAAGTAATTAGCCTCCAACTAATAAAAAAAAAAAAAAAAAAAAAAAGCTGAGTATGAAAAAAAAAAAAAAGAAGTCAGTAAAGTAAACAATCATGGAGACTGGAGGCTTGTCAAGGCAAAGCTGTGATGTTCTACTCTTAGTTCTTTATTCTTAACCATAAAGTAAAAATTAAGGCTCCCTCTTCACAGGACAGAAATCAGTACGAAGAAATCAGATAGTATGATTGAACATGTTTGGAAAGGGACCTGTTTGTTTTGTATGCTACTTAGTCATTTTCTCAGATGGTTAAAGAGATAGAATTCTTTTAAATTTATTTATTTTTAATTGGAGGATAATTGCTTTACAATGTTGTGCTAGTTTCTGCGTACAACAGTGTGAATCAGCTATATGTACACATGTATCTCCTCCTCCTTGAGCCTCCCTCCCACCCAGCCCCATTCCACCCCTGCAGGTCATCACAGAGCACTGAGCAGAGCTCCCTGTACGACACAGCAGCTTCCCACTGACCATCTATCTCACACGCGACAGTGTATATATGTCAGCACTACTCTCTCAATTTATCCCACCCGCTCCTTCCTCTGCTGTGTCCACAAGTCCGTACTGTCCATCTGCATCTCTATTCCTGCCCTGAAAATAGGTTCACCAGTACCATTTCTCTAGATTTCATATATATATGTTAATATGTGACATTTTTCTCTTTCTGACTTACTTTACTCTGTATAACAGGCTCTAGGTTCATCCACTTCACTACAATGGACTCAAAAACTCTTTAGCTACTAAACCCTATTTCACCTACAGAACGCATATTAATACATTTTAAGATATGAGAATTTTTTAAAGCAAGTTTAAAAAACACAAAATTAAAATAAATCAATGATTAATAATAGGGAACAGAAGAGACCACTAGAGTGGGGTCATTAGGAAAGATGAAAGGAGGGAGGAAAACAAAGACATCTTTTCTACTTTATATTAATGTTGTTGTTGTTCAATCACTCAGTCGTGTCTCTTTGCAACCACATGGACTGTAGCAGGCCAGGCTTTCCTGTCCATCACTAACTCCCAGAGCTTGCTCAAACTCATGTCCATCAAGTCAGTGATGCCATCCAACCATCTCATCCTCTGTCATCCCCTTCTCCTCCTGTCTTCAATCTTTCACAGCACCAGGGTCTTTTCCAATGAGTCAGCTCTTTGCATCAGGCGGCCAAAGTATTGGAGCTTCAACATCAGTCCTTCCAATGAATATTCAGGACTGCTTTCCTTTAGGATTGACTGGTTGGATCTCCGTGCAGTCCAAGGGACTCTCAAAAGTCTTCTCCAACACCACAGTTCAAAAGCATCGATTCTTTCGTGCTCAGCCTTCTTTTATGGTCCAGCTCTCATATCCATACATGACTACTAGGAACATCATAGCTTTGACTATACGGATCTTTGTTGGCAAAGTAATGTCCCTGCTATCTAATATACTGTCTAGGTCTGTCACAGTTTTTCTTCCAAGGAGCAAGCATCTTTTAATTTCATGGCTGCAGTCACCATCTGCAGTGATTTTGGAGCCCAAGAAAATAAAAGTCTGTTACTCTTTCCACTGTTACCCCATCTATTTGCCATGAAGTGATGGGATCAGATGCCATGATCTTAATTATTTGAATGTTGAGTTTTAAGCCAACTTTTTCACTCTCCTCTTTCACTTTCATCAAGAGGTTCTTCAGTTCCTCTTCACTTTCTGCCATCAGGGTGGTATCATTTGCATATCTGAGGTTATTGATATTTCTCCCAGAAATCTTGGTTCCAGTTAGTGCTTCATCCAGCCTGGCATTTCTCATGATGTACTCCGCATATAAGTTAAATAAGCAGGGTGACGATATACAGCCTTGATGTACTCCTTTCCCAATTTGGAACCAGTCTGTTGTTCTATGTCTGGTTCTAACTGTTGCTTCTTGACCTGCATATAAGTTTCTTAGGAGGCAGGTGAGAGGCAGGCAGGTGAGATTCCCATCTCTTTAAGAAGTTCCCACAGTTTGTTGTGATCCACACAATCAAAGGCTTTGGCCTAGTCAATGAAGCAGAAGTAGATGTTTTTCTGGAATTCTCTTGCATTTTCTATGATCCAGCGGATGTTGGCAATTTGATCTTTGGTTCTTCTGCCTTTTCTAAATCCAGCTTGAACATCTGGAAGTTCTCAGTTCATGTAATGTTGAAGCCTAGCTTGGAGAATATGAGCATTACTTTGCTAGCATGTGAAATGAGTGCAACTGTGCCGTAGTTTTAACATTCTTTGGCATTGCCTTTCTTTGGGATTGGAATGAAAACTGACCTTTTCCAGTCCTGTGGCCACTGCACTGCTGAGTTTTCCAAATTTGCTGGCATATTGATTTGTTCAAAAACATCATGTCATTGGTTACAGGTTCCTGGTTTAAAAGACAGACCCTAATGTAAAGGAGCGTGACCTACTCTATAATTACTTGTCCCTTTCCAAACAATATTAACCTTAGGTCCATTCCTAAAGCATGAGTTTCTTCTACGACTCATTCTTAAACTGTGACCACAAACAGAATGAAGCAGAAAGCAAAACATAGCATAGGATTTTTAAGTCTTCCTCCACTGTGTAGAGTAGTTAAGAGTTAGGAATTAAAGAACTTGGTGAATGGTTAACCATCTTTATCATTTTCATGCTACTGATACAAAATGCAACTTAACTTACCAGCTCTGCAATTCGGCAAAAGCTTGTTTCATTTTCTTAATAGAAGCATCCATCTCTTCTTTAACTACAACTCGATATCGTGCAAGAGACACTGTGCAGCGCTGGAGGTCTTTCACAGATTTTTCAATATTAGAACCTTGGAAAGAACCCCAATAAAAAAAAGAACATAGGTAACTTGAAAATTGGATCTGAATACCTAAGCATGTAACATAACTAACATCTCATAACTAAGAATGCTTCCTAAATGGCCACCCTCAACAGAAAACTGAATTTTTCATAGATTTTTTTTTTAAAGTATCCTGGCCAAGATGGAGTAATAGGAATTGAATTTACCTTCCTGTCTTAAAAAATTTCACACATACACAAAATATATGAAACAATGGTTTTCAGACAATGAACAATATGCAGTACTTCTTACCACCCTCCACAAGAACACAGAAAACAAAAAAAGTGAGGCCTAAGATGGCCTCAACATGCTGCCATAAGAGAGTTTCCAGGCTGCAATGCAAGGAGGAGAAATCCTAAGTTGAGTCTGCACATCTCCTTGAATTGAGGGGACAGAGTTGAGAGTTCAAGGAGCCTAAGATGGCTAGAATTCTCAGGGCAGAACAGTGGAGAGGAGAAAGCTACACAGCAATGAAGAAACTGTACAAAGATCCACAGAGGATTCTGAGTGCATGCGTGTGCAGAACCACCCAAAACAGGGAAAAGAACCACTGGAAAGGAGCAGGTAGAATAATCCTAAGAGCTCACCCAGACCAGGAATAGTCTATGTTCACACCAGCATAGTGGGGCACCAGGTAGAGTACTTAGAGGGGTACTGCCTCAGTAATTAGCTTGAGACTAAAGGCTGCGCTACTTCTACTAACAAAGCTTAAGCAAGCAAGCAGACTGTTTCCAAATAACAGTTCCAGAATAAATCACAAGAATATTTAAAGAAATATGAAAATATCTAGCAATCAACAAAGCAAAATTCACAATGTCTGGCATCTAATAAAAAAATTACTAGAGGCAGAAAAACATGACTGATCTATAATGAAGGGAAAAATCAATTAACAGAAACAGGTGCAGAAATGACAAAGATATAGAATCAAGTCGGTAAGGACATCAAAACAGGTAATATAATCAAATATCACATGTTCAAGAAGGCGGAGGAATAGTATAATCTGTTAAGGAGACACATGGAAGATATTTAAAAAGATTCCAACAGAATCTTTGGAGATGAAAAAAAAAATCAGAGATGAAAAATACACTGAATTGGATTAATAGCAGATTAAAAACTTAGAGAAAAAAGATTAATAAATTTGAAGACAGTAATTTTAGAAACTATCCATAATGAAATTAAGCACAGAGAGAAAAAGACTAAAAAAAGAACCCAAAATGAAAAATTATTTGAGGTGGTACCAAATTTTCAAAACTCCCTACATAACAGGATTTAGTAGAACACAATTCACCATGTAGACATTACAAAACTGATAAAGTTCTCTCTTGATAGTACAGTTCGAAGCATTTTAAGTGAGTAAGTCAACACTGTAGATAAAGATGAAACATATTTACCTACCCAACATATTTTAACCAGTTTCTGAGAATTCTATTGTAACCTTTTTATATTCACTGATGTCAAAGTTACTATGACTGGTAGTTAGAATAACTGATCTAACAAATTTATAAAGTGCCAAGACACAGATTTTCAATCTTTAATTTAAATCCTTCCTCATCTCAACCTGATTTCTTTTAAAATCTACCTAAAAGCTTTCAAGCACTGTTCCTTTATTTTTGCTTGACTAAATACTCTCAGACTTGCCTTTCTGGACAAGTTGAGGGCTCTGTTAGAAAGATGAAAAAAGAGAGCCTCAATAATTAAATTTGGCTCATGCGGTATAAATAATTCAATACAGAGCTACAGGTTACAAGGGTCTTTTTACATTTTTCTGTTTCATTTGTTCAGGTAAGTGGACTGCCATCCTTAAATGGACGATAGAAGGGCTATTATCGTCTATCTAATTATTGGCTGATTATTTAAATAACTATTATAGTTTAAAAAAAACAGCAAATGGCTACCATCAATCAATGCTAAGGATTTACTTAAGAGAAAATGACCTTGTTTAAAGCTACAGTCTGATAGGTATTAGTAAAAGCATGAAGTTGAAAAGAGAAACTAAAATATTTCTTCAAAATATCATTTCAGAGATGGCAAAGCTTTTAACTGTTGAATCAACCTGGAGTTAAAAATGAAGGAAATAGCACAGACATGTTGCAGTAAAGCAAATAAAATGAAGGTTAATGTTAGCAGAAAGTCATGCTAGCCGCAGAGTTTGACCCTCATTCACAAAAAACGACCACTATTGTTGTCTGAAGACTGTATGGCATTATACTACTATCAGACTCCAACTGTGTACACAAAACTGGGGAAAGGCTGGATCATCATGGATAGTCACTTTTGAAACCTTATCTCTGAGAAGAAAGAGATAATTTGCTCTCTCTAGCTAAAAACACAGATTCTTTTTGCTTTCTCTCAAAGGAAGGTCTTTGATTTACCAAGCTTTTTGTTGGTGGAAGAGAGGGGAACATCTTCCATGCCTAGATTTGAAAGCTGAGGTCCTACAGTAGTTCTTGAGAAAGACTTGGCAGCGTTCCTATTTTGTTGAGAATTCTGAGTAGGGTGCATAGTCAAAGATCTGGACTCAAAATCAGAGACACCATTCTCCAGCATGGATCCTGTCAAATAAAGAGACCAGTATTTTAGAGTAGAGTTTAAGGGTAAATCAAGGAGTCTTTAAGTACACATGAAGTAAAAAGGTAAAAATGCAGTAAAACAATGCCTCTTAAAAGGTTGTGAATAGAATCAACTGACAAAACAGGATGAAGAGCAGAGTCAGTGGGGCTGTGAGTATCATCTGGCTTAGCCCAGGAGGCACACGACTGAAGAGAAGAGTTCTTTATTAACCCATCTCCAGATAGGCTAGCTCATTCCCTGGACCTTGTTAATAACTTCCTTGCAGTTCTGGTCACAAGGAAGTGAAGAGTCAATATCACCACCTTCTGACAAGCTTCTGTTAAGTTATTCTGAGGAAAAGATTTCTACACTGTTCCAGGGAAAGAAAGAGAGTTTTAAAAGCTTGAGGAAATAGAAAGGGCAAAGAGTTAGGAAATAAAGGAAAGCTAGTTCAGAAAAAAATAGAGGCCATTGACTATCTATGGTTTGTTTGAGGTGCTATGTTTTTTTCTAAGTCTTTGTATGTACGTGTGTGTGCTTGAACTAATCAATAAAAAAAATCTGAAATATACAGCATAATTTAAAAAATGGCATTACATTTATAAAGCCAGCAGCAACAGAGCAAAGAGAACTGGATTAACAAACAAGTAATTAAAAAGCCTATTTTTACAAATATATTCCCAATATCTTTCCAGTACTCATCAAAATGGTTAATGAAACAAAATGTACAAGCTATCTGAATTTACAACTAATACTAATCTTAATTCTTTATTAAAAAACAAATGTGAGACTATAAAAACCAACAGTTTACTTCTAATGAAAGCCATAGGATTACAATAATGCTTATATATTCCTTACTGTGTTGAGTCTTGGAATAATAACATCAATATCAACTCATGATCATCATTTCCTTTAATAAATGTGAAGTTAAAAAAACACCTAAGGTCACCTTCTGTAATCTCTAAGTATTACAGAACTATTAAATTAGAAGATTTCCACAAGGCTGATTTAGACTAAAATTAAAATATGAAACAATGGAATAAGAATTATATTTTTCTAGGCCTTTTTGATAATTACCAAATGTGACTCTTTCACATAAATAACAAAATTAAAAAACTAACTAGATTTAATTTATTGATTGCTTTCTCAACCAAGAAGTCCCTGTATTTTTCAGTAGAATGGAACTTTCCAAGGACCTGTTAATATACTCACCTGTTCTATCTAGCATTTCTGATGTGGCAGACTCAGGATCCTCCAGTTCTCTGGCTTCTATTGAAAGTGTCTCCATACCTTCACTGAGTGAGTCCACAGACTCGGTATCATTGATGGCACCGTTGACATGATAACCATTAATACCACCTTTCTCTGAGGAGGGTGCAGATTGTTCCTCTTGAACGGAAACCGATTTATTGGAATCTGGGATACTGTTACTTGGTTCTGCTGCAGGTTTTGGCTTGCTTTTCTTCTTTTTGTTCTAATGGTTATTAAAGATTTGAAAAAAGAAAAGAAAAAGAAGACCCCGACAAACCAGAGAGGTGATGCCAGCTACCCATAGGCAACCAATATTACCAATTTCTCATTTGCTCTTCCAGAAACTGAATACATTTTTGTGTATGTTAAACCACTGACTAAAATAACTGTGTAAAATACTTAAGATAAATTCAAACACATAAAAATAAAACAGCAAAGCATAACAAAACCCCCTATAAGAAAAATCAAAAGATAAATTACAAAATGTGAAAAAAAAGTGTAATATATACAAAGAAATAGAGAAAGCTCTTAAACAAACAAAATAATAATCCAATAGAAAAACTGGTGTAGCTATAAACATATGGAATGAAGTGAAACTTCAGTTTAATAAAGATAAATTAAATCTGCACTGCAGAGGATTTTGCATCAGAAATCTGTCTCCTCACCTAGACAACAATTACACTGGCAGAATCTGTCTAACTATTTTGGAAGTCTGGAGTCTACTGAAGGCTTATAATTTCCAGGAGAAGACTTGGATGATAAATTGCAGTTAATTTCAGTCAATTTCAGTTCTGAGCACAGTAGCAGATACTCACCCCCCCACCCCCAGTTAGGGAACAGGCAGCCTTGCACCTGTTCTTGGAGCAGCTGGCACATAGCTTGCTGGAGTCAGGGTAGGCTAAAAGGACCCTGTCTTCCAAATATCTGGGAGCTGTGTCGTGGTCACTGACTGTTGCCTTTCACTACAAAGGTACAGACAGAGGCAGGCAGCCACTGATGCTGCACCTCCTCCCACTGTTCCAAGCCCCTCCCCTTCTGGTTGAAGTTTAATTCCTTTGGGGGAATTAAAGTGGTGGTACCTTTCCTCCCCACTTCATTTCTCTTTATTCCCTTTCAGGAGACAGACATCGAAGACTAGGACATTCAAAAACAACTTTATATATAGAAAAAAATTGAAAGTAATCATGCATGCCCAGGGAAAAGCATAGACAAGATCTGAGAAGACCTTAAGTTTACACCTTAGGCTGACCCTTGGTACAAAGACAGCTTACAACAATTTTAAAATATAGCAATAACAAAAAACAGCAAACCTGGAGAAAGAGGGAGAATCTGGTTTCCAGGGTTATCAAATTATTAGATTCAAATGTCTAGCTTTCAACAAAAAATCACAAAGAACACAAAAAAATAAGAAAGTATGGCCAATACAAAGGAAAAGAATAAATCAATAGAAACTTTCCCTGAGAAAGACTTGTTGGGAGATATATTAAAGCCTTTATTTTTTTATCCAAAGATTAATTTTAATTATATAAACATGGATTCTTAATATGTTCCTAACTAGCAGTTTCCATAAGTAGGATTTTTTTACTCAAATGCCTAGTGCATTTTTGGGCTCCCCTGGTGTTTCAGTGGTAAAGAATTCACCTCCCAACATAGGAGACATGATCTCTGGTCTGGGAAGATCCTACATGCTATGGAGCAACTAAGCCTGTGCACCTGAGCCTGTGCTCTAGAGCCTGGGAGCTGCCAACTACTGAGCCCACATGCTGCAACTGCTAAAGCCCACGTGCCTAGAGCCTGTGTTTCACAACAAGAGAAGTCACTGCAATGAGAAGCCTGCACAATGCAACTAGTCCCTGCTAGCTGCAGAGTACAAAACAGCACAAAGGAGAGTAGTCCCTGCTTTCTGCAACCAGAGAAAAGCCCATGCAGCAACGAAGATTCAGTACAACCAAACCCCACCCCTCAAAAATGGGAAAAAAAAAAAAAGCTGCCTTAAAAATGTTTAAAGAACTAAAGGAAAATGTGGGGAAGGTCAAGCAAACAAAGTATGAACAAAATGGAAATATTAATTAAGAGATAGAAAAAGAAATTAAATCTAAAAAAGAAATCAAAAATGAAATTCTGGAGCTGAAAAGTACAGTAACTTAAATTTTTTTTAAAAAATCACTGAAGGGATTCAAAGGGAGATCTGAGAAATCAGAAGAAAGAACCAGTGGGTTTCAAGATGGCACAACTGAAATTATTGAGTTTGAGGAAGAGAAAAAAAAAGACTTAAGAAAAGTGAAGAGCCTAAGGGACCTGTGGGGCTCCATCAAGCAAACCAACATATGCACTGTATAAACTGGATAAGGAGAGGAGAGAAAGGGAAGAAAGAACGTATGAAGAAATAATGGCTGAAAACTTTCCAAATTTGATGAAAGACATGACTATAAACATCCAAGAAGCTTAACAACCTCTAAAAGAGGATGAAACACGTTGTAACCAAACTTCCCAAAGATAAAGAAAGAATCTAGAAAGCAGCAAGAGAGAAGTTACTTATCACACACAAGAGATCATCAGTGAGATTAGCAAATTTCTCATCAGAAACATAGGAGGCCAGAAGGCAGTAGGCAGATATATTCAAAGTGCTAAAAGGAAAAAAACAAACAAACCCACCAACCAAGAATCCTCTATGTAGCAAAACTGTCTTTCAAAACTGAGGGATAAATTAGGACATTCCCAGATAAACAAAGAGGAGGGAGTCCATGACTACCAGACCTGCCCCACCAGAAATGCTCAAGGGAGGCCTGTAAGGTGAAGTGAAACAACACTAGATGGTCTTCTGAAGGCACACAGAGAAATAAAGAACTTGGCAGAGGTAAAATATATGCACAACTACAAAAGCTAGTATTATTATAACAATGGTTTGTTACTCTTCTTTTTGTTTTCTACATGACTTAGAAGACCAACAAAACCAAAAGCTAGTTCTTCATAAAAACAAAGTTGACAAACCTTTAGCTAGCTGGACTAAGAAAAAAGTGAGAAGACTCAACGTATTAAAATAAGAAATGAAAGTGGGTACATTACTATTGATTGTAAGAGAATATTATGAACAATCATATACCAACAAATTGTATAACTTAGATGAAATTGTTCAAATTCCTAGAAACACAAAACCTACCAATACTGTCATGAAGAAAGAGAAAATCTAACTAGTTAGGAGACTGAAACATGAATAAAAAATCTCCTGACAAAGAAAAGCCTTGGCTTCACTAGTGAATTCTACCAAACATTTACTCCTGCCAAACTTAAAAAAAAAAGAAAAAAAAAGCTGCTGAAGAGAAGGGAACAATATCTAACTCACTCTATGAGGTCAGCATAACCCTGATACTTAGACAAAGACACTAGATGAAAACTACAAAGCAATATCCCTTATGAACACTGATGCAAAAATTCTCAACAAAACAGTACCAAACCAAATTCAACAACATATTAAAATAATTATATACCATGACCAAATAGGATTTATTCCCTGAATGCAAGAATGGTTCAACTTAAGAAAACTGATCAATGTAACACACCATATTAACAGAAAGAAGGGGAAAAAAGCCACACGATCATCTTAATTGATGCAGAAAAAACATGTGACAAAATTAAAATATACTTTCATGATAAAAACACTAAAAAAAAAAACTAGGACTAGAAGGAAACTACTTCAATATAATAAAATACATATATGAAAAACCCACATGGAACAACAGTCAAAGAGGAGAGCTTTTCCTCAAAGATCAGGAACAAGGCAAGGATGCCCACTTTTGCCATTTCTATTCAACACAGTACTGAAGGTTGTAGCCAGTGCAATTAAGAAAGAAAAAGAAACAAAAGGCATCCAAGCAGGAAACGAAAAAGTAAAATATGTTTGCAAAAGATATGATCTTATATATAGAAAATTTTAAAGATTACACACACACAGAACTATTCAGCAAAGCAGCAGGATACAGTCAATACACAAAAATCAGTTGTACTTCCATACATGAACAATCTGAAAAGTAAATTATAAAATAATTCAATTTATAATAGCATAACCAAATAGAAACACATTCATATTTATGAATTAGAAGATTTAATATTAAAATGTCAATACTACCCAAAGTGATCTACAGAATCAATGCAATCCATATCAAAATCCCAATGATATTTTTTGCAGAAACAGAAAAACCCATCTTAAAATTCATATGCACTCTCAAGGAACCAAAACAATCTTGAAAAAGAGGACTAGAGATTATCATACTAAATGAAATAAGTCAGACAGAGAAGGACAAATATCATATGATATCACTTATATGTGTAATCTAAAAGAAAAGGACACAAACGAATTTATTTACAAAAGAAAAATAGACTCACAGACATAGAAAACAAGCTTATGGTCACCAAAAGGGAACGGGGCTAGTATGGGAGGGCTAGTATGTTTGGGACTAAAATATACACATTATTATATATGAAAAGATAACCAACAAAGACCTACTGTTGGGGACTATAACAGTATCTTCTAATAACCTACAATGGGCTTCCCTTGTGGTTCAGCTGGTACAATGGAAAAGAATCTCAAAAAATTTATGTATATGTGTGTGTGTGTGTGTGTGTGTATAACTGAATCACTTTGCTGTACCCCCTGAAATTAACACAACATTGTAAATCAACATTTCAAGAAAAAATTTAAAGAAAAAGAGGAACAAAACAGGGAGACTCATACAACCTGATTTCAAAACTTACTACAAAGCTGCACTAATCAAAATAGTGTAGTACTAGGGTAAAGACAGATGTATAAGGGACTTGTCTGGTGGCCCGTGGTTAAGATTCTGCTTCCACTGTGGAGGGCAGGGGTTTGATCCCTGGTCAGGGAACTAAGATCCTGCAAGCCATGCAGAGTGACAAAAATACTATAAAAGACAAATACAGAGACAATGAAATAGTATAAACAGCCCAGAAGTGAACTCTAACATATATGGCTAAATGATTTTTGCCAAAACTACTCAATGGGGAAAGGACAGTCTTTTCAACAAATAATGCTGGAAAAACTGGAATCCCCACTTATAAAAGAATAAAGTTGGACTTTAACCTGAAACGTAACACAAAAATTATCTCAAAATGGATCAAACCTAAATGTAAGACCTAAATCAACAAAACTTATAAGAAAATGATGTAGGACAAAAGCTTCACGATATTGGATTTGGTAAGGATTTCTTAGAGATGACACCAAAGGCACAGTTAACAAAGAAAAACAAACTGGACTTCATGAGAAAGAAGACAATCCACAGAATGTGAGAAACTATTTGCAATCATGTATCTAGTAAGGGATTTTTCCTCTCCACAATTCTCATTTCTCCTTTTCTTAATTACTTTCTCCCATGTGAGCTGTCTAAGTTTTTGTGTCACTGTCCTATGCATGTAATACCTATCCCCAGTAACCGTTCATGATCATATCCTATTGAACTAATCCCAACAGTTAACTGGATGTGATTTGGGTATTTGGGATTGCCAAACTGAAGCCATTTTTCTTTCTCCAAATTTTAAGGAATTTATGTATCTCCAACACATACTTCCCCAGCTTTGTGCACATATTACATTACTAATAACCTATTATCCTTGGCCAATAAAATAATAAATCAGAATACGCACAGTTATTTGGGTTTGGTGAAAGCCATGGGAAGTGGTTAAGCAAATATTCAAAGCTACAGGTATGGAAAGCTTCAGGGGAATCTGCGGTAGTATTAAGTTCTTAGAAAAAGTTCTCAAGGATCATTGGAGCCAAGCCTGTTTTCTTTTTTTTCCCAAGTCTGGTTTAATCAAGACTTAGCAGAATTCCTAATGAAGTGATTTAGAGTCATCAAGAAAGCATTCCAGAACTCCAGCACTAACCTAATATAGACTCCAAAGAGATTTCATAGAGATACTTGATTCAAATTCACACTTCAAGCACTTCCTAAAGGAACTAGATTTAGAGTTAAGAGCTATGGGAAGCATGTTGAGGTTAGCTAGTGTCCTTTTTGGGAAAAGCATTTTTGGTTTCAAGTGGATAAGGAGAACTGATATGCTATATATTGTATTAAACACTTGAGGAGACATTACTTTGCCAACAAAGATCCATCTAGTCAAAGCTATGGTTTTCTTCAGTAGTCATGTATGGATGTGAGAGTTGGACTATAAAGAAAGCTGGGCCCCAATGAATTGATGTTTTTGAACTGTGGTATTGGAGAAGACTCTTGAGAGTCCTTTGGACTGCAAGGAGATCCAACCAATCCATCCTAAAGGAAATCAGTCCTGAACATTCATTGGAAGGACTGATGCTGAAGTTGAAACTCCAATACTTTGGCCACCTGATGAGAAGAACTGACTCAACTGAAAAGACCCTGATGCTGGGAAAGATTGAAGGTGGGAGGAGAAAGGGACAACAGAGGATGAGGCAGTTGGATGGCATCACCGACTCGATGGACATGAGTCTGAGTAAGCTCCGGGAGTTGGTGATGGACAGGGAAGCCTAGCGTGCTGCAGCCCATGGGGTTGCAAACAGTTGGACACGACTAAGCGACTGAAATGAACTGAACTGAAAAACTTGTAGTTGTCAATATTATTTTCCTATTTTAGAGATGAGCAAACTAAGGCTCACTAGGGTTAAACAATATTCCCAGGAAATAGAACCAGTAAGTAGTAGAATAGGATATAAATCCAGTTTTGACTGATTCCACAGTCCAAGTGCCTTCTATTATCTTCTAATATCTCCCTGAACTAGACCATTAAACCCCTCTGCATAGCTAAAAGTAGCAAAGCTTCTCTTTAGGCTTTAGGCTAAAGCTGATTAATATCAGAGATTACAACACAAGTGGTCTGACTTAAAAATCTGAACTATTTTAACTGACGTATGATATGAATGATGTTGAAAACCACTGGAATGGATCACTTTCTCTAGAGGAGCTCTGCTGTCCTTGACATGCTCTCTTGTTTCATCCCTGCCTAATATTAATACACTCTCTGCAACTGTGGTGGCAGAGTAATTCTGCTTTCTGCCTGAAATCACATGGAGGAGACTGTGGTACTCTATGTACATAGCAGTGTTACAGTGTCCTGGAAGAAAACTTTTCTTAGCCAGGTAAACTGAAGATGCACATGTAAATCTTTCAATATTTCTGCAGAGCTTAATTTTTTTATAATACAAATAGGGATACCACACTTAAATTTAATTCATTTTTACCTTTTTCTTGCCTGTTACTGTCCATTCTTTGAGTACTTCACTGGCACTACCTGTAAGAGAAACCAGTCACAGATTTTTATCTCCCATCACAGGCATGCTCAAGCAGGAATTAGTGTCCCTGAATTTTGTAACTGCTGGAAAGTCTCCCTCTCCCAATAGGAAAAGTGATGGTTCAGGTATCTAAGCTAATGTATTGAGATAATCATATCATGCTTACCTTTTAGAATACCTGCCCATTTAGATCCCCCTTCTCCATTTAATTTCTTCAGTAAGTTCTTCCAGGAAGAGACTAATGTAGCCTGACCATTTTGAAGCTTCTTTTTATGTATGTAGATTTAACCAAATACAAAGACGACTGGTTTCAGCCCAAGTATGGTGTCCCCTCTCCTCCAGAAGATTACACACCACCTGGTTACATTGTTTCAGAAAGAACTGTCTACTACCCTAGACCCAAATACTAACATTATAAAAAAAAAATATGATGATAAAGAAAAAACTTCCAGTATTTGGACCTGTTTATTCTACACTGGCAAATTCAGAAAAGTAAAAAGAGGGAGATCTATTTTGACATCAGTGTCACTGTTCAATGAAAGAGACAATTTCAGACAGTTTTTCCCAAATAAGTTATGTGGAAAGAATTTTGTAAAATGCTCCTCAACTCTATAAAATCAGAAGGTTTGACTAAGCATACCATTTTTTGTATGGTAAATAAGGAAATTCAAATCCATATATTTAAATCACTTGTCAGAGCCTAAAAAAGACTATTGAGTCCCTAAATCTGCCATCTGTAGCTGAGCCACTGGACCACTGCTCTGTCATTGCTTCTTAAATTCTTATTCAATCCAACTCCAATCAAGTTCCTTATACCACTGGCTACCTTATTTCTTCTTAACTGTCATTAGAAAACGTTCTGAATAAAATGAAGGAGTCTTCTCTGCTTGTCTCTTATTCCAAGTATCATATAGCTTATGAATGAATTACTTCTAGGACTGAAAAAAGGAGCTTTAAAAGATATCTTTAAAAATCGCACAGGGCCTGCTATATCATCTATAAAATACCAGACTGCCGAATAAATGTTATAGAAATTTGAAGCAACTTCTATTTGAACAAATATGAGCTTGCAAAAATATTGAGCTAGGGTTACCTTCCATAAATGCTTGTACTGTTTTGTCCACACAATTATCAAAGTGCTGCAAAACCAGGATAATTTCATTGTTACTCTTATTGGGAACTATTGCACGCACTGCATTTATCTGAAAAAGAAGATAAGGTCATTTAATTCTAGTATCAGGAGATCAGTTGGAAGCTGAGGCCTATTACAGGGAATAACAGTAAGGGTACCATTTCATCTTTAACAAGGTGTATCATATCACTTTATTTTTTTTTTATTTTTATTTTTTTTAAATTTTTATTAGTTGGAGGCTAATTACTTTACATCATTACAGTAGTTTTTGTTATACATTGATATGAATTAGCCATGGATTTACATGTATTCCCCATCCCAGTCCCCCCTCCCACCTCCCTCTCCACCCGATCCCTCTGGGTCTTCCCAGTGCACCAGGCCCGAGCACTTGTCTCATGCACCCAACCTGGGCTGGTGATCTGTTTCACCCTAGATAATATACATGTTTCAATGCTGTTCTCTTGAAACATCCCACCCTCGCCTTCTCCCAGAGTCCACAAGTCTGTTCCATACATCTGAGTCTCTTTTTCTGTTTTGCATATAGGGTTATCGTTACCATCTTTCTAAAGTCCATATATATGTGTTAGTATACTGTAATGGTCTCTATGTTTCTGGCTTACTTCGCTCTGTATAATGGGCTCCAGTTTCATCCATCTCATTAGAACTGATTCAAATGAATTCTTTTTAATGGCTGAATCATATCACTTTAGTATCAGCGAGAGTACACACAACCATCTCACTGAGATGATTAATAGATGAATGATGCCAACACATAAAAAATTAACTTTAAAACTTAGAAAAAGCAGAACATTTCCAGAAACAGAAGATTTGTGCCAGATCTTATCTCAGGGTGGTTTAATTCAGGTATCAGGTATTAATTTAGCATCAACATTTCCTCATTTTTAGCATACTACAGAGAAAGGAGTAAAGTTTAACAAACCACCAGAATAAACCACCAATAATAATTTAGATTTTTGCATAGCATTTTTAAAACATTTATTTCATATCATTTAATTGTATAATAATGCTATAAATATCATTTAAGTTATTATAAACTACTTCAGATATATAAAACATAATGAACACTCACTATGATGGCCAGTTTAATAAAATAAAATATATGCAATTGAAATGCCCATGAAGCTTCTCATAAATCCCATTTCCCTCCTCTCCACAGAGATTTCTACCTTGAATTTGGTGTTATTTCAATATTTGTTTTTGTACTTTTATGATGTATGTCTGTATCCAAGGGTAAGACATATTATTGTTTGCATTACATATCAATATCATACATATCTATTTTTAATTTGCTTTCTCATGTAATATTGTTTTTTAGATTTTTCATGTTGGTAAATACATCTCATTATTATTTATCAGTAATTTATTTTAACTGCTAAATAGCATTTCCATTGTGTGAATATAGCCAATTTAATCATTTTTCTGTTGACAGACATTTACATTCTTTCCAGTGCTTGGCTACTATGAAAAATGCCATAGTAAACATTCCTATGCTTATGCTTATTTACTGAATGCTTACAACAATGCTTAGAAAATTGTTAAAAAAAAGGAAAACAAGTCTTTAGTGAACAGTGAGAGGATGTGTCTATTGTATATATAATCACTAGTAGAATTTCTGAACAGTTCAGTTTAATCATTCAGTCGTGTCCAACTCTTTGTGACCCAATGGACTGCAGCACACCAGGCCTCCCTGTCCATCACTAACTCCCAGAGTTTACTCAGACTCAAGTCTATTGAGTCAGTTATGCCATCCAACCGTCTCATCCTCTTGTCATTTCCTTCTCCTCCCGCCTTCAATCTTTCCCAGTATCAGGGTCTTTTCAAATGAGTCAGTTCTTCGCATCAGGTGGCCAAAGTATTGGAGTTTCAGCTTCAGCATCAGTCCTTCCAATGAATATTCAGGACTGATTTCCTTTAGGATAGACTGGTTGGATCTCTTTGCTGTCCAAGAGACTCTCAAGTGTCTTATCCAACACCACAGTTCAAAAGCATCAATTCCCTGGTGCTCAGCTTTCTTTATAGTCCAACTCTCACATCCATACATGACTACTGAAAAAACCATAGCTTTGACTAGATGGACCTTTGTTGGCAGAGTAATGTCTCTGGCTTTTTAATATGCTGTCTAGGTTGGTCATAGCTTTTCTTCAAAGGAGCAAGCATCTTTTAATTTCATGGCTGCAATACCATCTGCAGTGATTTTGGAGCCCCCCAAAATAGAGTCTGTCACTGTTTCCACTGTTTCCCCATCTATTTGTCATGAAGTGATGAGATCGGATGCCATGATCTTAGTTTTCTTAATGTTGAGTTAAAGCCAACTTTTTCACTCTCCTCTTTAACTTTCTTTTCTTTTTTTAAAAAGTATTTATTGAATTTATTACAATATTGCTTTTTTGTGTTTGTTTTTTTTTTTTGCCGCAAGGTATGTGGAATCTTCGCTCCCTGACCAGGGATTGAACTCGTGACCCTTGCAATGGAAGGTGAATTCTTGATTACTGGACCACCAGGGAAGTCCTCCTCTTTCACTTTCATCAAGAGGCTCTTTAGTTCTTCTTTGCTTTCTACCGTAAGGGTGGTGTCATCTGTGTATCTGAGGTTATTGATATTTC